CAGCCAGAGTGCTCCTTGGAGGCCAGGATGGCCAAACTTCACATCTCATACTTTGGACATATTGTCAGGAGGGACCAGTCGCTGGAGAAGAATATCATGTTTGGTAAGGTGGAGGGTCAGAGAAAAAGAGGAAGACCCCAAACGAGATGGATTGGCCAAGTGGCAGCATAAATGGGCTCAAGCGTGGCAACAATTGTGAGGTTGACCCAGAACCAGGCAGTGTTTCGTTCTGTTGTGCATCGGGTCATTATGAGTTGGTACGGACTCGATAGCACCTAACAACAACAAGCCATAATTTACTCAGAGTAAGAAAACATAAGAAAAGCACAAGGTTCTCACAAAAAAGACATTTTTCAATTAAAGCTAACCTTACATCTAACTAAACTATAAATACTAAAATTTGACATAATATATCTAATTACAAAGATTATTGTTGTTGTTGCTGGTAAGTGCCATCCAGTCGGTTCCGACCCATAGCGACCCTGTAAAGGGTTTCCGAGGGTATAAATCTTACGGGAGTAGAAAGCCTCATTTTTCTCCTGCGGAGCGGCTGGTAGTTTTGAACCGCTGACCTTAAGGTTCGCAGCCCAATTCGTAACCACTACACTACCAGAGCTCCTTATAGTTATAGTTAATTACAAATATAGTTAATTACAAAAATTAATGTGATAATGTACTTTACCTCTTGAAGTCCAATATTCCATGACTGTTCAGAATGCAATTCTTCCAAAGAGATATTACCCCTAAGGACCATAAGACAATTATTAACATTTGCTTTCTCTCTGAAAATTATTGTTTTAAATTATAATTCCCAAATTTGGCTTCAGAAAAGAATTATATGGGATTTTTTTAAAACATAAGGATTGACAAACCACAAGTCAGTAAGTCTATTGTCATGTGTGAGTCCAATTCAGCACTCTGCATTTTAAAATCACCCTGGTCAAGTACTTTGGATCTACAACCATGTTTGAGAGCCATGTTCTACATCACTTTCATAAAATATATCCCAAATCTCAAGGCCTAGAACTGTTTTTCACTCATAAGTTTCTGGATCTTTGGAGATTTTACAACAAAAATCCTAACTTGTTAATTTTATTAAACAAATTATGAGTCGATTTTTATTCATCTGTACATTAATCTCAAGGTCATCAATTCAAAACTACCAGCAGTTCCACAGGAGACAGATGAGGTTTTCTGCTCCCGTAGAGATTTACAGCCTCAGAAACCCTGTCCAGGGTCACTATGAGTCAGAACTGACTCTATGGTACACTACCATCACACCTCACCACCCCATGTGCCAAACACATGAAAATAGCATACATATGATCTTTTTATAAATGTGTTGGTAGGAACTGTCTAGTCAGCTCTGACTCAATGAACCTATTACACAACAGAATAAAATACTGCTGGGTCCTCATCCATCCTGACAACTGTTATGTTTGAGCCCACTGTTACAGCCACTATGCCAATCTAGCTCACTGAAGGTCTTTTCTTTTCACTGAGCCTCTACTTTACCAACTATGTGACCTTTTCCATGGACTGGTCCCTCCTGATATCATGTCCTAAGTACGAAAGATGAAGTCTTGCCATCATCATTTCTAAGGGACATTCTAACTGTAATACTTCAAAGACAGATTTATGTATTCCCTAGCAGCCCATGGTACTTTCAATAATCTTTGCCAATACTATAAGTCAAATTTATCAGTTCTTCTCTGGTCTTTCTTATTCATTGTACAGCTTTCACATGCATATGAAGTGATCGAAAATACAGTAGTTTGGGTCAAGTACATCTTACTCTTCAAAGTGAAATTTTTGCTCTCTAGCAGTTTAAAGAGGTCTTTTGCAGAACATTTGCCCAATGTAATATGTCAATTATACTTTTACTGCTGCTTCCATGAGCATTGATTGTGGATCCAAATAAAATGAAATCTTTGGCAACTTCAATCTTTTCTCAGTTTATCATGAAATTGTTTATCGGTCCAGTTGTGAGAATTATTTCATTACAATGAATTGCAATCTATACTGAAGGATGTTTACTCTAATTTTCATCACTAAGTACTTTAAGAACTCTTTGCTTTCAGCAAGCAAATTTCTGTCATCTGAATATTACATTATTAATGAGCCCCAGTCCCATCTTGAAGCCATGTTCTTCATACAGTCCAGTTTCTTGGATTTTATAAATATATACTGTAAATGCCTCCAAAAAAAGTTACAGAAAGAAAATCTATTCAATCTCACAATTTTCAATCACTAAGATTTAGCTAAATCAAAATTTTGTTTGTTTTCAGGTGCCATCTAGTCAGAACCGACTCATAGCGACCCCATGCACAGCAGAACAAAACAATGTCCAATCCTGGGCCAACCTCACTACCGCTGCCACACTTGAGTCCATCAATGATGCCACCTGGTCAATCCATCTCGTTGGGGGTCTCCCTCTTTTTCTCCAACCTCCATCTTACCAAGCATGATATCTTTCTCCAGGGACTGTTCCCTCCTGACAATATGTCCAAAGTATGAGAGACGAAGCTTAGCCATCTTGGCCTCCAAGGAACACTGTAGCTGCACTTTGTCCAAAATGGATCTATTAGTTCTTTTGGCAGTCCATGGCGCTTTTAGTATTCTCTTCCAACACCACAACTCAAAGGCATCAATTCTTCTATGATCTTCCTTATTCTCTGTCCAGCTTTCGCATCCATATGAGGCTATTGAAAATACCATGGCTTGGGTCAGGAGCACCTTAGTCCTCAAGCTGACATCTTTGCTCTTCAACACTTTAAAAAGTTCCTGTGCAGCAGATTTGCCCAATGCAATACGTCGTCTGATCTCTTGACTGCTACTTCCACGAGTGTTGATAGTTGATCCAAGAAGAATGAAGTCCTTGACAACTTCAATCTTTTCTCCGTTGAAAAGAATGTTGTTTATTGGCCCAGTGGTGAGGATTTTTGTTTTCTTGACATTGAGTTGTAATCCATACAGAAGACTGTGCTCTTTGATCTTCATCAGTAAATGTTTCAAGTCCTCTTTACTTTCAGCAAGCAAGGTTGTACCATCTACATATCGTTTACATATGTAAATGAGTCTTCCTCCAATCCTCATGCCAGGTTTTTCTTCATATAACCCAGCTTCTCAGATTATTTGCCCAGCATACATGTTGAATAAGTATGGTGAAAGAATACAACCTTGTTGCACACCTTTCCCAATTTTAAAACATTCAGTGTTCCCATGCTCTTTTCGAACAACTGCTTCTTGGTCCAGGTACAGATTCCTCAGAAGTACAATTACGTGTTCTGGAATACCCATACTTCACAATGTTGTCCATAGCTTGTCATGATCCACACAATCAAAAGCCTTTGCGTAGTCAATAACGCATAGGTAAACATCTTTCTGATATTCTCTGCTTTCAGCCAAGATCCATCGGACATCAAAAAACCAAAATAGTTTACAGAAAATGTAGACTCATCTGAATCTAGTAGCTAAATAAAGTTTTATTTTATTACCTATAAATTCCAAGTAATTATATGACCAGGTTCAATAAGGTAGCTTCAAAATTTTAAGGAATAAAATTTTTTAATTAGACCATTATACATGAGATTAAAAACCACCTTCAAATAGAACATTTTGTACATCAGAAGCAATAAAAGGAAGCAAAAACTGATGGAGCCTAATTGTTTTCACACAGAAAAATTAATGTATAAATAATGGGAAGGGAGAAATGGTAATCCTGATCATAGACAAGACAGGGAGTACTGAGAGAAAAATTCTGACAAGGAAGAATTCTATCCCTAGAATAAAAGTTGTTCCATAAACTGTTCATAGGTAAGCTTATCTCATTAACGTTTGAATGTACAGCTTCCCTTATTCTGATTCTGGAGTCCTAGTGTGGCTCTGTAGAATAAAGCACTGGACTGCAAGGTCAGTTTGATCTGAAAGGTCAGCAGTTCAAACTCTTTGGATATGATATACGGGGTCACTATGGATTGGAACTGACTCCAAGGCACACAACCACCACCAATAGTAAGAAATAGTACTTATCACTCCAGTAAGCATTCCTATACATGTAATTCTTTGAGTTCTTATTGTAAATTAATAAGCTAACCTCTGATGGGTATGCAAATATGTTTTTTGAACGCACCAGTTTCCTCAAATCTAATCAACTTTAAGGTTCACATAAAAAGGCATTTGTGGGCTGGTAAATATGACCATAATGTCAACAAAGGTAATATTACAAAGATTATGATAACTGATAAGGCTCCTTTGAGGCTAATTGGCTCACCTTCAAACAGCAATAGATCTACCTCAATTTGCCTCAGATCAACCTGCATTATACTAGATACTGATTGCATTCCCCAGACTTACACAAACACTTACATATTATTTGTTGGATATTTCTGGATTATTTTCTGTGGTATTTTCTTTTGGTAATTATTTTCATAATTTCCTTAAAAATAAAAGTATATATTGAATTAAAAATTTAACATAGTCTATTTCCAGTTGTAATTTGAAGCTTAGTAGCTTGATACATACAGAGAGAAATCATTTATCCATACTGTCATAAAAATAGTCTTCCTCTCATTGATTTCATAATCTTCCAAACACATACACATAAAAATACAACTATACATACATTAAAACTGAAAAAAAAAATGAGCATATTTTCCCATATAACATGTTCATGTAAATAATGCATGTGTGCATACAGCACATATAGCACACATAGGAGACCAATGTACGAGGGGGTTGCGCAGTTTGCAAAAATCACACAACTCACATTTGCATGAAATACGGTTACTATATTTTCCATGTATGACACCAACCTGTTTTTTCAGAGCTGGCTGGGTAACAGTGCTTCTCAAAAGAAGTACTCATATAATTTCTTTCACTATTGTTGTATTCTTTCAGGCAGTTCTTGTTAAGTTGACACTTTTCAGGATAACTCGCTTCATTACAAGCAGAATTACTAAAAGGCAACCCTGGAACTGTGAAAATATTCCTTATACATCTATTGGTAGAATAGTTTCTATTCGAACCAGGAACTGCACAGATATCTCTTGTACTGTCATTGTTTTCCTTTATCCTCTGTTGATCTAAGTTTAATAAATTGATCATATTTTGACTAACAAAAGAGTCACAGTTCTCTGGTAGAGTGCTGGGGATTGCCTGATTCACATTTTCAAGGCAATTTAAAATTGTTTTTCCATTTTGTCCCCAATAAGGCTGTACTATTTCTTTTACAGTAATGAAGTCTGACTCTCTTCTTTCATTCCTGCTTCCGCCATCTTCATCCATAATTACAGTAGATCTTTCAGTAAGGAAATTCCCATTTCCTGGACTTTATGGTAAGTAAAAAACATATTTAGCAAGAAAACCATAAAACATTTCCACTTTAAAATATTTCTTTCATGTTAAAACTTTAGAAACCATATCTAATAGCTACATCCAACATGTACTCAGGCAATCTTTTTATTTTTAAAATAGAAAAAAATTGCATTGCTTTGTTATCATATAAGCTCTTATAATGTTTTATTTAGTACAAAAATGATTTACATTCAACTTAGTATTTCAACATAAAATACTATTTTATAGTTCAATTTACTAATATCCTAGCAAAACAAAATATAACCAACTTATATAGTATATCACTTAAAATAAGAAATAAGATATAGTGAATAATCTAGACAGCCACTGTATGTCACTGCTGCTCCATTTAGAAGAGAAAATTCTTCTGAAGATTATACTCAGTTTTAACATTGAATCAAATAGTAATAAAAATATTGTTACAGACATTTACATAACAGATAACATAATGAGGATATAAAAAAACTCTGAAATTCTGAAGAGCAATGCAGGTAAAAGTGAACATATAGCAATAAAGCTAAGAGATAAGGTAAATCAAATTAAAAGACTTAGCTAGGTATCTTGTAAGGTCCTTGTAATCTACAAATGGTAATTCTAGGTTACATACAATTTCTGGACAAGATTCAAAGCTATAGGCAGGAAACCATTTGAAATCAAGATGCTTTTGATTTTATTTGATTTATTTGGTATTGCTTGGATTGTTCCAAAGGCTGTAAGTACCAAAGAAAGTGAAAAAGAAAGCAAAAACTTCTAAAATTCTGATGACTTAGCTAACTTTCTTTTTCTAACATGTTTATTAAATATTGAAAGAGCACCAGTGTTCTAGACAATATGTCATGTGTGGGTAGCAAAAATAGTAGTTTGTTACCCATGATACTAAGTGTGGTATTAATAAGATAGAAATTAGAAATGGGAACCAGGCAATGATGCCACTCACTATCAATGTTATAAAGTATGTATGTTGTTATTGTTTAATGTTGTCAAGTTGGTTCTGACTCATTGTAACCCTGTATAGAGTTTCTGAGGAGCAGCTGGTGGGCTTGAACTTTATGGTTCAAAATCCAATGCTGATCCTACAGCACCACACCAGGAATCCATTAAATATGGTTTAGAAAGTCCTGAACAGATTAATAAGGAGCTCTGGTAGCGTAGTGGTTACGAATCGGGCTGCAAACCTTAAGGTCAGCGGTTCAAAACTACCAGCCGCTCTGCGGGAGAAAGATGAGGCTTTCTACTCCCGTAAGGATTTACACTCTCGGAAACCCTGTACAGGGTCACTATGGGTCGGAACCGACTCAACAGCACTTAGCAACAACAACAAACAGATCAATAAGGCATGAAAGGGAAATAGAAGACATTCAAATTGCCAAAGAACAAGTAAAATTATCTCTCTTTGCAGATGACATGGTACTATACAAAAAGAAAATCATAGAAACAGAATAAAAAAACTACTGGAACAAAAAGACAACAAGATCAACATACAAAAAACTCATTCAAATTCCTCACTAACAAAGAACTCTGAAAAGAAAATCAGGAAAACCAAACATTTACAACAATGCAAAAGATGAAGTTACTTAGGACTAAATACAACCAGAGAGACAGAAGATTTATACTAAGAAATCTATAAAACAATACAAAAACAACAACAAAAAAGATACCCTCATAAAAGCAGGAATGTACCAAGCGAATGGATAGAAAAATTTATACTATGAAAATGTCAATACTACTCAAAGCAATCTATATATAATGAATTCCTGATTCATTCTTGAGAGATGAAAAATCAAATAGTCAACCTCATATGGAAAGGAAAATGAGTCCAGATAAGGAAAACACTA